CGCTCTCTCCCACCTTCAGTACCACGACTGAGGTGCCCTTGAGCAAGGCACCGAACCCCCAACTGCTCCCCGAGCGCCGCAGCAAAAAAAATGGCTGCCCACTGCTCCGGGTGTGTGTTCACGTTGTGTGTGTGTTCACTGCTGTGTATGTGCACTTTGGATGGGATAAATGCAGAGCACTAATTCCGAGTATGGGTCACCATACTTGGCCACTTCACTCACTCACTTAAAGCTTTAAAGGAGACCATTGTGAGAGTGATAGACGTTTTGTCTCAGGAGACAAGTGTGAGAAACAGGAGACTCAAGCAAAAGTCTCAGTTTGATGATAAGTAACCTCATTTCTGTCTAGGAGAAATATTTGAGATGTTAAAAAGATCACACTTTTGATTTTTTCTTTCCTCTGGGGTGTGCTGCTGTCACAATCATCAGCTGGAGTGCCCTTGATGGCCACCAGAGGGCACTTCACCCTAGACTTTTGCCATTCCATCAAAGACTACATCCCCCATGATCCTCTGCCCTGTTTCATCATCGCTGATAGTCTACAGGTGTCACTCATTAGCCTGATTAGCTCACCCTATATAAGTCCGGTTCACACTGGCATTCATTGCTAAGTCTTGCTAGTGTCAACTGCGTTTCTAAGCCTTGTTTCTTCCATGTCTTGGTTCCTGCTCTTGTTACTCTGCCTGTTTTTGGATTAGCCTTTAGCCTCTGTTTTTTGCCTTGGTGTTATTGTCTGGACTGATTACCTCTGTATATGATTGTAGAAATATATTGCCTTTGGATCCTCTACCTTCGTGTCACCGTGCAGTTCATGACGGCTGTATACTGTATACAGTGCTGGGCACTGAAGAGAAATTTAAACTAGTAACTGTTTAAAACTAGCACTAAGTATTGACATCGAGGTTCAACTGCTCTTCGGACAGCAGGAGTTTGAGTCTGACTGAAGGTACTTTCCTGCTCCTGTTCTCCTCCTGCTGGTTCCTGCCTCTCATTCTACTGTCCTGACCATTAAAGGTGAAAAACCTGGATGTAATAAAAGGAAAGAGCCACTGAGTGATAAAATGCTCCTGTACTGGAGTCTTGAAAGAGGTTACAGCGAGACAAAGAGATCTCCCATATTTCTCACACCACATTCTCAAGACCAGAAAGAATCATTTAGAAAAGTCTCACAAGCGTCTCCTGACGTCTCAACGGTCTCTCTCGCTTCTCCAGCGTCTCTTTCAGAGGCCTTCAACATCGACACTGAACATCCACTGAGATTTAATGGCACGCCGGAAGATTTCTTTGGTTACAGCGTTTATCAGACTGAGTTTGGAAACCGGAAACAGTGAGTCAGACACACACTGGTTGCTAGGGTGTTCTGTGTGGTTGCTAGGTGTTTTCTTGTGTGTCTAATTGATTGTGTGTGTTTCTCAGGATCATTGTTGGAGCTCCATTAGAAGGAAACTCAACAGGGGAGATGTACAGCTGCTCTGCAGATCTGCAGTCCTGCAAACAGCTGCAGCGGCCAGGTATCAGCTTCACAGCCCATCTATCAGTGACTGCTGTGGACTTTCACTGCTTTATACTGAGCTGATGACACTCCTCTCTCTCTCTGCTGGGGTTTGACAGGTTCAGAGAGCGTCCGCTTCTTTGGCATGTCTGCTGCTGTGTCGTCTGCTGCTCTCACTGTAAGTTCACTGTCTCTGACGGCCAAACTCCATCATGAGATGCTAATGATGTGTGTATTTCTCAGAGCTGCAGTCCGTATTTTCTTCATGAGTGTGATGGAAACTCGTATCTGAACGGCGTTTGCTACCAGTTCAGCAGCAGCTTACAGGCCGTCTCCAACTTCACCTCCATCACACTCATGAGGAAAATACGGACTGCAGCTCTGAGAAACACACACACGGAATCTGACACATCAGCAGCTTCAGCAGATCACAAAATCAGCTGAAACCAGTGCTAGAAAATAGCCATCACTTATTTATTAAAAATATAAACATTATACTCATAAAAAAGCTGTAATTATGGTTCAGCTTGCATTTTTATAATGTTCAGTAATGACCTTAACATACTCAGCTTAGTTTCTCTGTAATACTTTACAATCCCATGTTTGTATTTTCCATATACCATATTTAATGGTACCTGAGCATTCTGTGAACATTAACATCTCATGAAGGAGGTTTGACTGTCCGAGACACTGAACTTACAGTGAGAGCAGCAGAAGACACAGCAGCAGACATGCCGAAGAAGCGGACGCTCTCTGAACCTGTCAAACCCCAGCAGAGAGAGAGAGAGAGAGAGAGAGGAGTGTCATCAGCTCAGTATAAAGCAGTGAAAGTCCACAGCAATCACTGATAGATGGGCTGTGAAGCTGATACCTGGCCGCTGCAGCCGTTTGCAGGACTGCAGATCTGCAGAGCAGCTGTACATCTCCCCTGTTGAGTTTCCTTCTAATGGAGCTCCAACAATGATCCTGAGAAACACAACCACACCGCACAAACAATCAGACAGTCAGGAAACACCTAGCAACCACACAGAACACCCTAGCAACCAGTGTGTGTCTGACTCACTGTTTCCGGTTTCCAAACTCAGTCTGATAAACGCTGTAACCAAAGAAATCTTCCGGCGTGCCATTAAATCTCAGTGGATGTTCAGTGTCGATGTTGAAGGCCTCTGAAAGAGACGCTGGAGAAGCGAGAGAGACTGTTGAGACGCTTGTGAGACTTTTCTAAATGATTCTTTCTGGTCTTGAGAATGTGGTGTGAGAAATATGGGAGATCTCTTTGTCTCGCTGTAACCTCTTTCAAGACTCCAGTACAGGAGCATTTTATCACTCAGTGGCTCTTTCCTTTTATTACATCCAGGTTTTTCACCTTTAATGGTCAGGACAGTAGAATGAGAGGCAGGAACCAGCAGGAGGAGAACAGGAGCAGGAAAGTACCTTCAGTCAGACTCAAACTCCTGCTGTCCGAAGAGCAGTTGAACCTCGATGTCAATACTTAGTGCTAGTTTTAAACAGTTACTAGTTTAAATTTCTCTTCAGTGCCCAGCACTGTATACAGTATACAGCCGTCATGAACTGCACGGTGACACGAAGGTAGAGGATCCAAAGGCAATATATTTCCACAATCATATACAGAGGTAATCAGTCCAGACAATAACACCAAGGCAAAAAACAGAGGCTAAAGGCTAATCCAAAAACAGGCAGAGTAACAAGAGCAGGAACCAAGACATGGAAGAAACAAGGCTTAGAAACGCAGTTGACACTAGCAAGACTTAGCAATGAATGCCAGTGTGAACCGGACTTATATAGGGTGAGCTAATCAGGCTAATGAGTGACACCTGTAGACTATCAGCGATGATGAAACAGGGCAGAGGATCATGGGGGATGTAGTCTTTGATGGAATGGCAAAAGTCTAGGGTGAAGCACAGTGTGTGATGATGATGAGATCTCTTCTAAAGCTTTAAAGGAGACCATTGTGAAAGTGATAGACGTTTTGTCTCAGGAGACAAGTGTGAGAAACAGGAGACTCA